ATTACATGGTGACAAAATAATTAGCAACTTTGATATCTTAAACATTAATAAAACAAATATTATAGTATTAAACCAGAAAATAACAAGTAGAAGCATCATAATCATAATAAAACCATAAATATATGACTAAAATGGAATATCATAAATATTAGTACCCAATTTCAAACACACAAAAAAACATACAACAGAGGACTAAATTAAAATAATACAAGATTATGCAACCAATTCGCAACTCATTGAAAATAAACAGAAATGGAGACCAAATCACAAAACACGGTAAAGCTAAGAGGACCTGAAGCGCGATTAACCCTAAAGAATGACTAACACACTACTCATATTAAACAGAAAGGATCAAGAGGGTGATTTACCCCTAAACTAGTGACCATGGCGTATAACAAGCTAAAGGTCTAGGGACCTTAGCGTGGTTTACCCAAAAACCTTAAATATCAATCCCTTCCCCCTTTCCAGATTTCACTTCTGCCAGTGGTTTCTAATCCCCAACTCTTTCTCTCTTTTCTTCCTCCCTCAACTCACAGCAACCTCTCACCAAGGAAATCAAAGAGAGCCACCACACACGGCGGCGCTACTACCCAAACCCGACTCTAATCGCTTTCCCTACGACTCTATTCGACAATGAACACAAAAACTCCAGGTAAATTTACTCTTAACTTATTTTCTTTTCCTAAAAATTTTATTCAAGCTTTGTTTTAGTTTATTATCTTTTTTTTTAAACCAAAGAAAACGAAAAGAGAATAAAAATACCTTAAAAAAAGTTTTTGTATTTCTGTTGAAAAAACGAGAGGAAGAGATCCTTCTCGGTTACATGGTTTTGGTTCTTATAACCAATTTTACATAGGTTTAAAAAAAATAATCCTAGTTCCACTGTGGTGTTACTGTTGTTGATAATGGTGTGCTTTTAATGCTCCGGATATTTCGGGATTTTGTTGAGCGAGTTTGGACCGGCGGTGACGACTGAATCATGATATCTCTATGGTTAGAATTAGAGTTAAGTTTATATCGAGTTTGAATTTTTAAGATTTGAGGTTATGAGATTTAGGGGTTATAAAAAATGGTGACTACAGAAACTCATTTAGCATATTCCCAACTAAATTCAAAATCTCCAAATCCACAAATTTTGACAACGATCATGGAATCTTACATTAAGTTCATTATAAACCTTATATTCAAAACCTTCAAATTTGTCAATCCGACAAATTCATTCGATAACTTCCTAATTAATGAATACCCTGTAAATTTGTCGCCCCTTTATTTTTGAACCAGTCCACCCAAAGTCCCCCAAACCACTATTTTTACCCAAAACCACAAATAAAAAGCTGGAACAGCTTTCAACAACGTGACTGAAAAGAAATGAAAAAGATGAAACATTTTGAAGAAAGGGAAAATGAATAACAGACTTTGAAAAACTAAAGATGAATTGAAGAGTCTTTGAGTGGGGAAGAGAGGAGAATTTGAGATTTACCAAGTAAACTCCAAGATTGAATGCTTCGATGACTAGATCTGAGCATTGTTTTCATCGAATTCAATCTTCTTGTCTTTAGATTTGTCACTCTCTTTGAGCTCTGGATTGGTCCTCAACGACAGGGATTTGTAACCATCAAGTTCAAGACCAGAAGCCGAGCAATAAGCTCTAAGAATGGCAACTCTAACGTCGGAAGATGAATCTTGTTCCTTTGGTCGACGTTTTTAGGGTGGATGTGAAGAGCATGGGTGGAAAGGGAAAGAAAAGGGGAAAGAAATAAAGTGAAAAAAATATTAAAATTGTGATACAGATTTGCTTTCAAAACTACGTAGTTTTAGAGTGGTAGGAAAACAAAAGCAGAAATCATAAATTCAATCCTCGGGGAAAAAGAAAAAGAAAAATCACTACTTCAATCTTTTGACGTGGAAATAGGTGCCGTCAGCAGAAAATAATGATTCTATTGGTCGAGATTGTTAAAGATAGACATTGATGAAATTAAATAAATTCAATGGTAAAAATGATAAGAAAATATAATAAAGATGAAATTGATAAATTTAACCTACTACAAGTGCATCTGTGACCCTTAAGTCGAATCTTTAAATATTGAATGGGCTTTTATAAAATGTTTAGTACATTTTTAAGTGCTTAAAAGTAATGTCTTAAATTGACTTTTAATGTCTAAAGAATTTTTCATTAAAAATAGATACTTAACATTACAACGTTAATATTTTAGGTACCCGACTATATCTATCTTAGATTTGACCATTAAGTGACATGTGTCACATATAAAATTTTAAATTTTTTTATTTAAAAAAAATTTAATATTATAATTTAAAAAAATATCAAAATTTTCTCAAATCTTAAAAACATACCCAAAACTTTGAAAAATCTAATTTTAATCATTATACCCATGTCAATCGCCTCCCTTTGTTGTCTTCGTTGTCATTGACCGGACCTAACCACGGTTACGCCTCCACTTGACGGACAGTCACCTGATGAACAATCACCGATGAACCTTAAATCACGATTTAAACTCGACGACGACAAGGTAAATGTTGTTTTTGTGCGATTTTACAGGGTTTGACGGTTCAATTGATGGAAAGGAAAGCGACACGCAAGAAGGGAGATGGCAATGACGACGCCGACGTCGGTGGCAAGGGAGAAATAAGGATTAGGGTTGGGATTTTTTTTTGTAAATTTAGATAATTTAGGGTTTTTTTAAATAAATGTAGTAAAATTTTTAAGTTTTTTAAACATTTTTTAAAATTACCAGAATGTGGCACGTGACGCGTAACGGCAGTTATGGTTCGGGCACCTAAAATAGTAACGGTTGTAACGTTAGGTACTTATTTTTAATGAAAAATTCTTTAAAACGCCAAAAATCAATTTAAAATGTAGTCTAGACACTTAAAAGTTTTTAAGCCCTTATAAATAGAAAATTAAAGATAACAATCTGTTTTCTCCCTAAGTGACCGTGACTGTGCCTTAAGTATATCTATTTCTACCCTTACATTGAAATATGCCGTACCTAATGTTAGTTAAATCGCTGCTGAGATCAAAGCTAGAGTTTCTATTCCAAGTACCACACTAGAGCTTAATAGTTCATCAAAACTTGGGCAATTACAATTCCACTAAGGTTTATGAGAAGTAGAATTGCATTAATCTATAGTCATAAAACTGGTTTAAACAGTATAATAAAGCATGCAAAAAGGGGGAATTGGTTCAGTCCATCAACCCACAATTGGTGATTACCACCTTTGCGTAGGGGCGATTGAAGCCTTTTTCTGCCACCACAGCTCTTTTATTGCCTAATTGTTTAGCCACCCTGCTCACACAAGCACACATTTCTCATTAGTTCTTCTCTTCTGACATTATACAACTTGGAATTGTCTATTTATCATCAACTCTTTAAAGATGCAAGGAAATACAAATCAACAAATTGGTCATGGTTCTACTAATTTCTTTCATTTTCCCTTTATCTATGGCTCAATGAAAAACATTAGCCTCCAACACATTTGTATAAATGGTCATTTTGAATTCTTTTCTTTTTTGAGTATTTTAACCGAAACATGACATTTTCTCATTTGCTTAGTTGCTGACATGTTACATGATACGATATGCATCATGTCGTTCAAAATGATGGCATGACATGTGTCATGTCACCAATTAAACACATGTAGAAATGTTATATCACCGACATGACTTTAGCTACTATTCAACTAATGATTTTCATGCAATAAAGACTAATCGACCAAAAATTGAATCAATGAAAGTAAATAAAAAAGGACCAAAGTAATCATTTAAAGAACATTGAAGACTAATTTTGTCATTATGTATTTATCTATCCGGTCTCAAGGAAAAGTTGAATCCTATAGGAAGGAATCAAACCTCTATGGCGGATATCACATTCAATTGTTTTGTTTGATTTCGAATTGCCATGGGTTGAAAGGCATACCTGAAATAAGGAGAACCGGTGCTCTCTTGAACATTTTTGACTTGTCCAATTCTCTTTACAACCTCAATTCCGTCCAATACCTGTCCAATTACAAGAGCTGAAGCATCAAGTTCTGGAGAATCCTTGACGGAAATCACAAACTCAGTACCATTCGGTTCGGTTCCGACTTCCTCCTGATCGATCTCCAGCTTCCCCTTGCGTGCCATTAGCTTCAGTTTGGGCGGTGGTTTAGAGGGATCCCTCACCAGTATTCCCACTGTACCAGCCAAGTTCTTAACCCCTGGACACTTGTCATACACTCTCTCCCACTCCTCCTTCAGAGTTTCAACTCCCAAATTGCTTCCAGTTCTCTAGGCAAGCTCCGCATCGACACCATAAGACCTCTATCCGCCATGTTGCACGTAGTTTGGCATAATCGTAATGAACTCTTTCCGTCTGTAGCTAACTCCGGCAGCTCCACTTACTAGGCTACTAATCCAGGCAGCAGCGGCTGGAACATCGTCTCCGTATATTCCGATAACAATGAGACTGGCAGGCTCTCCGTCGATGTCTATATCGAGAAAAGCTCGTTTGGTAGCAACTTTGTTGTTGCAATTAGGATCGGGAGTACTAGTAGAAACATTCTCTTCCTGTTGATTGGAACCTGGTGAATTTTCATCAGCCTTTGCCTTGGGGGGGGGGGGAAGGGTTGGATAGAGTGGTTCCAGTGCCTGTGTACCCAAGAGAAGAAGTAGTGAGGTGTTGGTGCAAATTGTAAGGTCTCGCCAGGAAAATTTGAACCGTTTCAGAATGGGGCAACAAGGAGAGGGTGGCGTTGGAGGCTGGAGTAAGTGCAGGGAGGATTGTAAGAATTTAAGGTTCTTTAACATTTCTGTGTTTGATTCTGCTTCACTACCCGAGGAGAGGTGAATTGTACTGCATATAATACTGTATTTGAATTACATGATATCATTGCAGATATATTTGAGGATAAGGAAAATACTGAGTCAATCCATCTAAAACACAAGCTCTTTAGAAATGCTTTATATTTTGTGGTGCCTGTCACACGGACCGCCACTGGGAATAATGAGATTGTTGCCACTGAGCCGCGATGGCTATGGCCCATGTTCTGCGATTTTAACCATTAGCAACGCATCCTGTGAGAAGCATAACAATTCAAGACTTGGGCTACGGGTGCAGACAAGCTTATTAGGCTTAGGAAGCCCAAAATAAAGGAAGCATGGATATATATATATATTAAGAGCATTGAACTTGAAGGTGCAGTCCAGTCCTTGTAACAGGGCGCTTCTTTTCTTCTATTTCCCTCCCCTGCAATAGGATCCGCGTACCGCCACGGTGGCAGTGTCTCAAAAATAAATATATTTGAACGTTGTTGTAGGGAACAAGGACACACGGTGGTGTTAAGCAATTCATCTTATATGATTTAGATTAAAAAAATCGTAGTTAATAATATTGGTGGTAATTATAGAGATGAAGTAAAAAAGGTTTTAGAGGGAGAGAATGTGAAACAAAAAGATAGGAAGAGGAGATACAAATGCTTTTCCTTGTCTGACATAAAGATTTATATCAGTGTCAGATATAATATTATGATAATCGTCTATAAATCAATAAAGTTAATATCGATAATAAATGATTATATTTAGTCCTGATGATTTTATGATAGTTATAAACGTTTTACTTTTTTTTTGGTGTGAACGAAGAATCGTAATCGATGATACTAATTGTGAAGGGAGAGAAACAAAAAAGATTTGTGAGAAAGAGTTCATGAAGCATAAAGATTGGAAGAAGAGTAATTAGAAACATTTCTCCTTGTTTGATACAAGGGTTTATATATTGATTTCTCGATTGTGTCGGTGATAGACTTAAGATTATAATTATTATCATAGATTGATAGAATTAATAAATATGGTTGTCATTCAATAAATTTGATCCTGAAATTTTTTAGACTTGTCCATAATCTTGCCGAGAGATAAAATAACTAATCGAAGAATACTAAACTTTAACTTAAGATATTTTGATTGGCTTAATACAAAAATAAGTGTCTAAACTATACTTGAAATTAACTTTTGGTGCTTAAAGAATTTTTTTGTTTAAAATAGGTTCCTAATTTTTTCTACATTACAGTTGTAGGTGACTACCGTTAAAAAACTCATTAAGTGACATGTGTCGCGTTTATATATATTTTTAAATTATTTTAAAAATAAATATTATTTAATAAAATGCGTCACTTAACGGGTTGATAGTAGGAAAAGTGCTCAAGCTTGAAGTAGAAATTATGAATTATTAATTGCTGTGGTTCTTTGAATTTATCTTCCATATTTTGAGACCCAGTAGCAGATAAGTAGCTTTGGCTATTATTATTTTATTATTCAACAATAGTAAAAGCCCCATCCATTCACCGTTTCCCACTTTCTTTTTTAAAATTCGGCAGCTTTGGTCCCTGTGTTTTTAATTGAATCTATCGTGAAGAGAGAGTGAAAGAAACAGCGTTAGATACTACAGTTATTTTATCACATTCATAAATCCAATACAGTTTCCCTGTCCCTGTAGGGTCATTGGAAATTGGCAAAGTAGAAAAATCCAACATTATACGCATCAAGTAGCCCGTGTACTCGTAGAAACACGGTCGAAACACGGTCGCCACTCGATTTCATCCACCCCGCACCCCAAAAACCCTCTATAAATATAAAACACTGCTAGTCTCAAATTTCCAAACCTCCTCCGGAACCAAAATGGCAAAGCTCTCGTGCCTCGAATTTCATCAAGTCTTCATGTAGTACCACTAAATACCCAGCCCTTTGCATCCAGTCTCTGGCCGCGTTCGCCCCTTCCATCCAGCAGAGCCCGCGGCAACTGGCTCAGACAGCCCTGTCGGTGAGCCTGGACAGGGCGAGGGCCACACAGGCATTCGTCTCCAAGATGAAGAAATTCAAGGGGCTTAAGAAGAGGGAATACGAAGCAATCAATGATTGCAGTGAAGAGATGAATGAAGGCGTGGACAGGCTGAGCAAATCTGTGAAAGAGCTGAAGCACATGGGGCAAGCCAATGGTCAAGATTTCTTGTGGCACATCAGCAACGTGGAGACGTGGGTTAGTGCTGCACTGACAGATGAGAACACTTGCTTTGATGGGTTTGCAGGGAAGGGTTTGGATGGTAAGGTTAAGGCCTCCATTAGAGGTCGTGTGATCAATGTTGCTCAGGTCACCAGCAATGCTTTGTCTTTGGTTAACCAGTTTGCATCCAAGCAGTAAAGTTGGGAAAGAGTAAAAGTTGGTCCAGCAGTGTCAGTTTTGTCATGTGGTTTGGCCTTGAATCCCGTTTTCAAATGTAACAATATGAAATATGAATGAAGTTTTTCTTAGCAAAAGCATTGGTTTCTCATTGCTTTACAGGACGGTGCTTAGACTTTGCTCTGCTTTATTATTATATTTTTGGTAATTGACTAAGTGTACTGTATAAGTGGCTGGGTTGGAGCCTTGAATTAAGGAAATTTCACGCTAATCGCCGTAATTTACGAATTGATCGAAGGACCCATGTGTAGTTTTCCATATTACTAGTTCACAGTCTTCTTTACTACTTAGGCCAAGGTTTACGCATATAACATTTAAAACTAACGCCATATAAGCTTATCGACTTGTCTCACTAAAATAATGTTATTCTTTTTAAAGATTCAAATTTGAATAATTGTGTGTATAAGATATATATAGATTATTAATGACTAAAAAAATTATAAACAAATATTAATATACTACCCTATTAATTATCCACGCTATTCTAAAAAACGCTATTCTAAAAATGAGAGCTCTTCATAGACAACTTGATTGTAAAATTTTGGTTTATTTAATTATCAGGGACTCCTAAGTGTAAAAATTCTTTAAAAATAGATACTTGAAGGCTTGTTATTAAAAATATAACTTGACAAATACCCGTGTCAACCAATATCAAATAGAAAATATACATCTAACTATATCAGGATATATAATTTTTTTTAATAATTGGAGTTACAAAAAAATACGGATCGATATACATAGATATATAAATCCATATGATTCCTATATTCTAGTAGGAATACCATTTCGATATGATAATATGAGGAATATCATTTCAACATGATAAAATGGGTTGTTCGGGACTCGAACCTAGAACTAACCAATGGAGTAGATAATTTTTTTGTTAAAATGAAATCAAAATTTAATGAAATTATTTCCATTTTTGAATTTAATAAAAAAATAATTTATTATAAATTGTCAAAAGATTCAATTCGTTAGAACCCGATCCAAGAACAAAAACTTTTAGTAAACAAAAAAAATCGAGCTATATAGAAAGATGCAAAACTTTATATTTATATTCTGTTTTTCTATATTTGAATTATATATACTTAAACAAGTAATAAAGGAATATAAAATTCGTTTTATTTATCTGGTCAAATTCGAATTTCATTTCATTGAAGGAAAAAATTCACCTTTTATTTTAGTGATACTGTGATAGAGATTTACTCGTTAATAATATCGAATAATAATAATAATCCACATCATTCGTTTTTCGAGAATTCCATTTTTTGTCACAAAGTAAAGCCCACGTATCAACAAGGATTTAGCATAATATGCTTTAATTATATTAATTCGGTTAATTTTACTGATGTGACACTTAATTGTCATTAAACCCACTCCTCCTCCTCCTTCGACATTTCACAAACTGTAAAGTTTGAGAGAAACCAAGGGATTACCGTCGATCCTAAAGCTTTATTTATAGTTTTAAAACTATACAGTTTGTGAGGAGGAGGAGAAGAGGAAGAAGAAGAGGAAGAAGAAGGGGGTTTAACGACACTTAACTGTCACATGAGCAAAAATTAATGGGAGGTAACGATAGGAATTAAAACGAAAACGAATTAAAAGTTCGATGATTGTATTATAAGCTTTAAAAGTTAGGTGACCAAAATACAAGCTGTCAAAAAGTTCAAGACTAGTTATACACTTTACCCTAAAATTTATTTGAATTTTCTTTCTAGATATATTCAATTATTAGTTTAATTACACCTTGTAACAAGTAATTGTGCTAAATTGTAAATGTATGTTAAAACTTCAATTATTTTGTTTCTTTTTATTTTTATTTTGTTGGTCTGTAGTTATACATTATTCTTTTTTCTTCAGAATTGAGAATTTAAAATTTAGTTGTATTAAATGGTTGGAAAATTAGGATAAACTATATTGATAGAACTTTTGGAGCATTCGTATTTTGATTATTAAATTTTAAAACTTATAATATAATTTTTTAACATTTAATTCATTATTATTATGATTATTATAGTTAGTTTTGTTACTAAAAATTGACATGATATGTGAAGTTTAATTTTCGTTATTTTATTTTATCTTAAAAATCTCTAAATTTTTAAATTTGTCTTCTTTGAAATTTACATATGTTCATCAATGTCTGGTGTCCTTTCGATCATCATTGTAATCACCATTTTTCCGTTATTATAAAATTATATATTATTATTATTATTATTATTATAAATAAACCAAATACAACCCAAGCCCATTACAAACATTATCAAACCCCATACCCAAAATATCCGACCCTATTACAAACCCAGACCCATATCCAACCTGAGGCCCAGCTGACCCAACCCGCTTCTACCTAGAGTTTCATCATAACTTGCTACCAACTTGCTATTGCCGCCACTGCCACCTCCTGCATTCTGCCACTACCACTGCCACCTCTTGCATTCTGCCACTACCACTGCCACAAGGGATAAGTTGTAATGTCAGGAGCATCATCACACCAACAAGTTGTTCTTTTTTTTTTTAAATGTAAATCTATGTCAAATGAGGCTATAAAAGCTTAATCAAATGAAAGAACGAATATCTTTCCTCTCGGTTTTTTTCCAGAGAAATACAAAGCGATATTTGAAGGTATATTTTCTTGTGTTATTTTGGTGTTCGAAATACAAGCAAACCAGTTTTTTTTGTTCGAAATATAAGCAAGCAAATTATGAACAAATAACGTTTTAGCAAGAAAAAAACCATGCATGTTACCTAATCTAAGAGAGAATAGTAGGGGTTTTTACCTGAGGGGGTGTCGGATCATCACCACGGTGGTCGGAGTGTGAGGAAGCCCAAACGTCTAAACATAGTTGGGTTATTTTTCGAGTGATTTTTGTTGTTTTTAGTCTCTAATAGGGTAAAAGGGGTTTGATCTAGGTTCAGAGGATGATTTGGGTTAGTTTGGATATTTTCAGCCACCGTACACGACGGTCGAATCGGCGGCCGGCAGTAGGCCAGTCGAGGGAAACTTGAGAGAGCTCTCGAGGGCTCTCTCCATTTTTTTTTTATAGTTTTAGGTGAAAATGAAACAAAAAAACCTTAAAAAAGATATATATAGAAAAAGTAAATGGTATAATTGCATTTTAAATATCTATATGGACCAAAATTGCTATTACACCAATTTGTTATGCATGTTTTAATGATCTGGTAAATTCACTATTTTAGTCCTTCAAACTTAATCATGTTTTTACACTTTGGTCACTGGACCTTTCGTTTTTAATTTATTTTAATTTTATTACTCAGTTTTGTTTTATTTCAACTTAGTCCCTGTTAGTTTTTGATTTATCTACTGTATTTTTAATTTTTACATTTTGATCATTTTTTATTTTTTATTTAGTTACTATCTTTTGTTTTCTTGAATTTTAATCAATATAATTCGATTTTATTACAATTAGATCCTTGTATATTTTAATTTTCTTTATATTTTTGGTTGTTTTTACTATTTTTATTATTTGTTATTTTAATTAAGTTTATTATTAGTTAATTTTTTTCATAATTTCAATTTTTATATATTTAGTTTTCAAATTAGGATTAACATTCGAATCAAACTTAGAAATTAGGACGACACTCTAGTTTAAGTAGGGAGCAATTCGAGTTGAGTTTTCGCATAAGGCCCGATTACTCGAGTCAATTGTTTAAACCCATAATTTATTAATCTTCGAATAATTTTTTAAAAAAAAAATAGGTTTTTTTTTATTTTTATAATTATTAGGGCTTAAATTTATAGATTAATCCTTTAAACTTTAAGATTTATAGGTTTAGATCTTTAAGTTTTAGGATTTTATATTTAGGTCTCATAATCATAGTTTAATCCTTTGACTATTTAGGTCCCCGACCTTTAATTAGAACTTTAGCATTTACATAATTAACTAGGATAAAATAGAACCTCCACTTTTAGACAGATTTTAATATAGTCCCTTTAATTTGAGGAATAATCCTAGTCGGCCCTCGCGTAAATGCTCAAGGGACCACCTGAGTTATTCAATTCAATAATTATTTTAAATCAAGTAGGATTAAATAAAATTTTGTTTGATTGCATTTTATTTTAACTCTAAGGCAACGTTCAGTTATTAGACACAATAGTCGATCTTCCGCATTTACGCTCGGGAGCGAATGTTATCGGTCTCGCTAAACGAACACCCTTTTCAACTTTGCATCCTTAATGATTTTTAAATTAAATAAAGATTGAACTCAAGATTTCCGATTTTAAATATAGGGTAATCAACTAGGTACCAATTTTTGGGCGCTTGTGGGAGTGCTAATCCTTCCCCAAGCGTAACCGACTCCCGAACCTGATTTCTGGATTTTTCACAGACCCCAAAACTCGATATTTTGATAAAAATAAAATGTTTTATTAAAATCACCTGATTTTTATGGTGTTTCAATCTCACCTTAAATTATTGGTGGTGACTCCTCACATTTCAAAATATTTTCAAAGAGAAAACCCTAAATCGGTATCGGTCTTTTTCCGTCCGGACGAAAAACGGTGTCGACAATCGCCTACACTAAATGGGTCCTATTCTTTTCCCTCTCTCAGTTCTTCTATTTAGATTATCAGAAGCCAACTAAAAGTATTGAACTATTGAATCTTTTTTATCATCATTTTTATCATTGTTCGATGGTTTTTCCTATCCATAAGATCACCAAACTAGTTTTCTTCTTCTTCTTTTCTTTAATTCGATTCAAACTCATAAAAAAATCTTTTAATCTTCTCAAAACCAAATAAAAATTAAAAACTAAATCTTTCTTACCTGCATCTTTCAACTATCATATTAGCTTAAAAACTGAACTATGTTAATTGTCTCACTAAATGGACCCTTTCTATTTTTGTGATTGACCAACAATTACTCCTTTTATCGAAAACTTAATTTTTCAGGTGGTTGCCAATTTGGAAGCTCTTGGTTATTTAAGGGAAAATAAAATAAAATTAAAATAGACTTTAACATATAACATCTTAATAGGATTTGATAATAATGATCAAAATAATAGTAAATTAAAAGTATAGTAATCACATTATAATTGTTAAAAATGTAATGACTAAAATACAAGTAGTCTA